CAATTTGCAATTTGCAATTTCCAATTACCAATTACCAATTACTAATCACAACTTACAACTTACAAACTACAAATTACAAATGTACACATGGCTTAAATGAATGTGTACTTAATGCATTAAATACAAGTGGTGAATTGAAATCGCGCTTGTGCCTTAATTTTCACCTTCAAACATGCCTTGAGGGGAGCAAGTGATGGCTCTTATTAAATAAATCAGACTTTACAACTGAATAATTYCTTGCACAGTTCATTCCGTCTATAATGCATTTAGTGTATTAAGAACGAATAATTCAAGATTACGAGAATAAGAGACACTAGGGAATCGAAATAATTTAGAGCGCTCTTAACTTTGCTACGCAAACAGTCCAATGTAAAGCTATTATATTTTGTCTTCCAGCGTTTTATCCAATTATTTGGTATGGTACGTGATTAAGGACGAGCTAGCGTACATGTCCAAGTCCTACAGGGATTTAAATGCACGATATTTGCGAGAAGTGAACAATTACACAGCGAACGAGGAACGATGGAAAACATGTGTTGACTATGTAAATAATGTTTTAACGAGAGACATAGTGGCTGCTGGATTTGTAGCAGATAACTTCACCAACAATTTGAAAATTGCGAAAATGGTGAGTTATATACATTATATATATAAAGCACACGAAAGAGCATCAGAAATTTGATTTTGACAATTTGGAATACGGGTCACCCACTTGAGTATTATTTTACAAAAAGTGCAAAAAAAAAACCAACTTTTTTATAAGGTAAAAAAGATGATGACTGAGGTACGAGAAGCTTTCAAGGAGAATATCAACTCTCTTACCTGGATTGATGATCACACCAGAAGAGCAATACTGGAAAAGGTATATCTTTTAAAATATGAAGTATGGCATGGATGCGGAGCAGCGAATGAGTTTACGCCATATTCTTGAATCAGTATTATTGTAGTTTGGTTCAAGGGTTTAGAAAGGCTAGGGGACTATAGTTAAGTAGTTTTAAGGCACGGCCGTAACCACTGTTATATGAGGGGCAAGGCGATGTGAATTTTACAAATCGGTATTATTGACCGATTAGTTCTTTTTTAATAGGCAGCATACGCAAAATGGTCATAACCTTACTTCGATGCATTCAATTAACATGCCACAAATGGCCTTCTAAACACTGGAAGTCTCATTTACGAGGGTCTTAGTTTCAAAAACCTTTTCGTAAGGCTATTACTCCCGAACCCCTTAGTTGTTCCCGGCTTAGGTGGTCGTATGTCGACGGTACACATTTCGGTTTGGCTATTGCCCAGTAAGGCAAAATATTTCCAACTCAATTGCTATTTTTAAGTTTATCATACACTTACTGCCCACGCTTCGCCCTAGCTTGCGTCCCAACACCTTTCATCAATATCTTATTATGTAGGTAAACGCGGAGAGAGGGGAATCTGGCTTCCCAAAAAATCTCCTGGACCCTGGAAAAGTTTCCAAGAAATTTGAAAAATACAAGAATGTAAGTAATAATCTTTATAACATTATAGCTAAAAGAAATAGCCTACGTTTCCATGGTAACAGAAACATAGGGGTTATAATCCCCGAGAATACAGTCAATTACGAGAGTCTATGGGGCAAAGAGTGACCAGTATGGGAGCACGTAATCCTAACCTTTCTTTATTGCAACTCTTGCATGAATGTGTATTTAAACTAACTAACATTAAAACTTTTACATTGGCATTGTCCACCTGTTAACTGTGTAGATTTAAAGTTCGTGTCTATAGGTTGATTACTGAATGCTGCGTACTGAAGAGTGCATTCCAAGAACGAAGTGCATTGTGGGCCATAGTGACATTGTCTAAAGTGGAATTAATAATTATTATTCATTCTATTTTTAGTGTATTATTCCAACTGAAACAATAAACTACATGTAGTAAGTTAATTGCTGTATATTTACTTTTTATTTCAAAATAACGAGACCCACAATGCCCGACTTTAGTCTTGGACACCCATTCTCACTTAAGTAGGACTATTAGGGGTTTTCTTTGACGAAAAAAAAAGTTTATCGTACAGTTTTCTGATGTTATCCATGCGAAAGCTATGGTATTTGAGTGTTTTATCCCGAAGTTTGCCGGGCACATGTTAAGTTTTTCGGAAGTTACAGCCAATTATGTAACCTCACCTACTTATTGCAAAATGAATACAGAAATCGGGAAATGTTCATTCTAATACTAAAATAGTAACGTCAAAATTAAAACAACCGTCTCTATTTTGTTTTTACATAGTAAAATAGAGTTTGGGGGTTTGATGTTGGTCGTTTTTTGTGCCTTTTTAAGGCATATCATGAAAAAAAGAGTTTTGTGGTATTAATTACTGATGAAAAAATCAGCATTTTTTTATAACTACTTCATATATTTTCTTTTATTCTCAAGATTGATTAAATAAAATGCAAAAAGACCTTTGATACTAATGTAATAGAGCGTAACAATGATTTAAAATCAAACTTTAATGTATATCATAACATGTTTCAGCTGTACAGGGCTCTAAAGTATGGTAACGTAAATTACACTTTCTAGTAACGTAAATTACAATGTATTAATTTACAAAGTATTCGAGTTTGCAAAGCCTTTATCGCGTAGATTTTAACCTCAAAGACATTAAAACACACAAAAGATGATTATAGATTACTTGCTTCTAACAAGAAATTACATAGTTTGCTATGTTCATGTGAAATATTTTAAAAGCTTAAAAGCTATTTTTCATTAAGTATGCTAAATAATAATCATATGTATCACTATAAATGTATATGTATTTACGATAAGATAATAAATGATCATTGCGATATCTATAAATGTTATTATCATGTTTTAGTGTTCAGTTCTTTTCAAAAAAGACACAAAATGTATTAGGAATGTTTGGTAACGTAAATTACACCAAATAGTGCTTAGTCACACAGTCAGTACAGTGTTACTGGTTTTCAAATTCACAGAATTTTTGAGTAATAAGCTCGACTGTCGCTGACGAGATATGGAAGGATCTCTTGGTCTTTCCAACGGGAACTGGAGGCTCTATTATACAGAGCACGTTTTCCATCTCCACCCAGAGATTGTCTTTCCTTTTCGGCCGCTTGAACGAAGGCTCCTTGCACTTGCCTCTTCCTTCTTCCATGAAATTGACATGGATATCATTAGCATCTACTTCCTCTACTTTGCCAATGTACCAATCACCATCGTACACTGCACACACCCAGTCATCGACATTGACTTCAAGAACATCTCGGATGTAGTCTGAAAGGCAATTCAACTGTGTATGTGGTTTCCATCCACAAGATGAGTTAGGTACAAATCCATCTTCCTTACTCAGGCATTTGCTGCAGTAGCAAGAAGTTGATTTGACCTTGATCTTGTTTGGTGTTTCTCCAAARATTGCATGTAGCTTCATTGTGCCTTTCACTTTCATCGTGGGAACGTTTTCTAGATATTCGGTGGCTCTCTGGTACTCTTCTTTACTGTAGAAGATGTACTTGGTGGCGGTGTTTTGCWCCTCTGAAGCCCATTTATAGAATTCGTTGTCATCTTGGATGACCACCTTTCCTGTTTTAACTGCTTCGTCGGCCATCCGTTTTGCAATTCCTCCCACACCATCACACGGCCCCTTGCCATGTCCTGCCTCAAAATAGTTCCACACAGCATTTGCAACGCCAAACTCGCTCATGTGGTTTGCAGTAATGCTGAAGATGGTTTTGTTTCTGTACTGTGACGTGGGGCTATCTGTCCAGTAGTGAACACACTTGAGCGAGGGAAGAAGTTGTTTTAGCTCTGGAAGTAACATCTTCAGGATGGTATATACTGCGGCGGCGGGACAGCTCATCTGAAGTGAATACAAAGCTCTTGTGTTTCATTTTTCCCTCGCCGGCATCTTTAAAATAAGCGACAACAGGGTGGAGACTAACCATTTGTGCCGTTCCAATACGCACTTTGAATTTCCTCAAGTGACTAGCATAAGTATTTTTCGGCAAAGTCCATTTGCACTATGATATGATCGTCAGGCAGGTTTTCTTTCAGCGATTTCAATTGGCGGTACTGCTCACGAACGCGATATACATGATGCTTAAAATCTTCGGTTTCTTTTTCCATCTCAGCGATGAAAAGGTTTTTCTGTACAACATTTCTAACTACTTTCATTCTCTTCTTGCCGTCTTCTTCAACTCGTTTCCACTGATCATACGTGACTTCCCCTGCATCAAGACTTTCTAGGATTTCTTTCACTTTTGTTTCGTCGTTGTCATTGATGAACTTGTCAGGATTGATGGTCGTAGTCGTGCCTTTACTTTTCAATGCACGGAGTCTCAATGCCATGTTCTGGTGTCGCTGGCACAGGCACGTGTCACGGGTAGTAAAACTGCCAACATGATGTGCTTTGGTCGAAGCTTGCAGAATGTTGCTCGTGAAATCTTTTCTGTTGGGTGTTCTGCTTGAAATTTAGAATGCAGACTATACATGTAGTCGCACAGAATCCTCTTTTGGACTTTCGCCTTACCACTTTTTAACTTGATGGCGTCGTTCTTACCAGGCATCATGCGACTGTTGTCATCTCTTTCTAGAAAACACTTTATCTGCTCTCTTTTTGCTGCAATTTGTGCGCGAAGACGAGCCTTGGCACGTCCTTTGACTTTCTTACACGTGGATTTCATCAAGGGATTTCTTCCTATTCCTGTTTCTTTATTCATTCTTCTGATCATTCGATATTTTGTCACAATTTTGCCAGAAACTATTTGGCGGATGGTCTGCTTGCTCTGTGTGCTTTTATTGCTGGCCATCGAGTGAAGTATCTCATCACATAAGATATTAGAAAAGATTAGTCTTTTCTTCAATTGTTGTGGCAATCGTCTTGGTGTCAGTCCGGCCCTTCTTATTTGCTCACTGGTACGTGTGCGCGGAGTCAGCTCTTCACTTAGGCAAGGGGGAGTACTATCTGCTTTCTTGTTCCTTGAGTTTCTTTGTAGCAGATTATTCTCACGTCTTTCTTTGCGTTTCAGTTGTTCCTCCAATTTTTTTATCTTTTATCTTGCTAGTTTAAACTCACGTTGTCGTCGTTTTAGGGATTCATTATGAAAATTAAGCTTAACAATTGGTACTTCTTCCTCGGGGGTGCCAGCATCTTTAGCACGTTGTCTGTGTTTCCTTGCGCTTTCTCTGATGCTCTTCCTTCTCTCCTTTAATTCGGGTTTCTTAAGGGTACAAGTTGGCTGGTAGTATTTTAACACTCTACGGCTTTCTTTCTTTAAATATCCTGAGCCAAGTTTGGCTTTCTTTTGCTCACGGTATGCTTTTTGAATCTCAGCTCTTGATTTAGCCATATCCGCTATTAAAATCAAGCAAAAGTAAAAAAATGAAGTCTGTAATTTACGTTACCGAATTATGTAATTTACGTTACTAATCGTTCACACATGTTTTGTAAGCAAATTATTTCGAATCTTTGCAATTTCAGTGAAATAAATGGATGACAAATCATTGTAGTACAAATATTTGAATATACAAAATACCTTCGTCTACTAACCTTGCGAATTATTGAACAAATTAGAGAGGAATATTAATTTCGATTGTCGAAAGAYGTACTCAATACTTTCCACGTGGAGAAAAAGGCTGATGTTACACCACACCACAGTAGATATGTTGTAATCCTAACCCCTGACCTTTCTTAATTGACTTAAAACACATAATAGTGTTCCTGTCAAGTTGTTTATACAAGATTTAAATCTTTAAATACCCCCTATTGTTTCAGTAATTTACGTTACCGTAACGTAAATTACAAAGCTAGCCAAATATTGTATTACTAAGTGCATAATAGGTTTAGGGGTACATCTCAACCACTTTTATTTTCCAATTTGTATACCACAACGTATGAATTAACTTAAGTTTACATATCAGCAAATATTATTTAGATATTACATGGAACTTAGGTAACGTAAATTACCGGCAAAAAAAAAAAAAAAAAGCAAAAGTGATGCTTAGCTTCAAAATTTCTAAAACTGCGACCTCAGACTGCGACTTGTCTATTGATTTCCCAAAATTACAAATAATTTCCTATCAAAAAAGCAAAAAAGGGTCAGTGGGTGACAACTTGTTAAAAAATTACTGGCAATTAAGATAAATGGTAACGTAAATTACACGAAACCCTGTGACAAAGATTAATGAAAATTTAAAACATTAACAAAAGGAAACACAATTTTTTTTCCTTCGAGAAACCTAAAACAGGATGATAACTACTGGAAAACATCGCTGTTTCTCTAATTGGAAGTGAATCAGATGATGCAATTGGACAATAACTAAAGTATATTTTTCTTTGTGACATGCCATTTTAGCCACATCCACGACTACGTGATTTTTTCAAAATAAACTCCAATATCAATAAGGAATCAAATGAATTTGGTAACAGCTGTGAAACTGTTAATACAAGCGCTTGGTGAAACTCGTGTGAAATTCGTGAACAGGTGAAACTCGTGTGACAGCAAGTGAGAATGGGTGTGGAATGCACTATTCAGTATGCAGCATTCGGTATTCAACCTTTTTGAAATAGCTGTATCAAGATATAAATTAATTTTGCTTTTCTGATTTTTTTATGTCTATAAACCAACAGCTGAACATCAGAAACGACACTCTGCTCAGCAACAGAATAACATTGATGAAGGTCATGCAAAAAGATTTGTTAGCAAAATTCAATAAAACCATGGATCAAGAAGAGTAAGTCGGTCACTAGTCAATCAATCGTATCGTAACTTATTGAAACTTTGTGACAAGTCTCAAAAATGGACTAGTTTCTGTTTGTCAATCGCATTGCCACATGGCAGTGGTTCTTGCTGTTTATATGACACTCATAACTTAGAGCAGTATTTATCACGTGTATTTATCTATCACTACATATTTATCAGGTGGGTGCACATGGGGCCACAAAATGCTAATTATGGAAAAAACCCTTATAAAAACTGGATAAGTAAGTACTAATAGTTTCTTTAATAAAAGCTACAAAACGTGAATGCAAATATAAATGACATACGTACATACAACAGACTGATCGACCAGCACAAGTTTTGTTATCACGTGCAATAAAACTTAGCGGGACAATAGACCAGTGTTGAATATTAAATTACGCCAAATATTAACCATTTTTGTTGCTATATCCATAGCTGTACCATTGCTACAGATTCGTCCACCCGATTTCTATCCTGTCGACGAATTAAGGTACGTGGTGGTTTATAATCTGATAATTATTTGTGAATCGACTTACGTTTCGGTAAAAATCTTTAATATTCCACTCCACATCCACAAAGCCTAAGATGACTGAGGAATTGTTTTAGTATATACCAAAAAAGAACGAACCTCTAACTATAGTTATATCAGTGCTACAACTTTATCCACACTCTTTCTATTCAGTCGAAAGTTAAGTTAAAAGTACGTTCGAATTCAGTAGTTGTCCATCTATAATATTTATTACCCTCCTCCGTCTTCACTTCCTTCTCCTCCTCATCATTTTTCTATCACATTATAATCATTCCATATATTCTTGACATTTGGTAATTGCGCCAATTTTCTTTCGAAATAAGTTGAGAGTAAATGTTTTAAATAAATTAACAAGAGTAACAAACAATACAAATAATCTCTTGGGGACTCTGGGGACTCTTCCATTGATTCTTCGCATGTCAATTTTTCTTCATTATCATTTTGTGAGCAGATCTCGAAATGCAAAGACGCCTGTCCGTCCATGGCCTGTAAATTTATTATAACTAGACGCATATCTGCGTGAACTCGGGCTTCATTCTAGAAAATTGAAAGATTTCTCCGTGAACATCGTGTTTCTTGTAGATGTGCAAAGTGTGTTTGATATTGTAAATCAAAGCGCATAAACTCATTGCAACACKTTGTTGTCGAGAATTCTGTCCAAATACCAGCTCATTACCTTGGCTATATGGTGCTGTTATTGTTTTGCTAGGGTCAATGTGCATTGGAGCAGGGACAGGGTTCTTCTCTATGTCTGTCCTCAGTTTAAATTTACAATAATAATTCGATATATGGGTCTGATTTTTGTACAGGCACATCAAACTATTGCAGGCAAACAATGATAAATACCGATTTGCTCTATATTTCAGCTCCATTATCCCTTGATAAACCCTGCTAGAGCAATTAAACAAAAGCTTCTTTTCATGATTTTTATTTAAGCTCATTCTCTTAGTATTACATTCATTTTTTGTAAGTTTTCTTACCTTCACATAACAATAAAGCTTGGAAGAATTCGGAATACTTGGACTGATGCCTTTGAAGACAAACTCCTTCAGCTTTCTGTTTTTGTTTCTCAGACTTTTCAGAGTTCGTATTGGTAATCTGCTGGGTTCTCGATCACGTCTAACCACACGACGATTCCTACTTAGGCTAATATGAGATAGCTGATTTGATATAGCATGATTCTCGATAGATAGTTCATTTGATATAGCAGCTGTCATAGCATTGTTCAAGATAAAAGGTTCACTCGTTAATGGATCACTCGTAAATTGATCTCTTGTAAACTCGCGGACCGACCCGTTCCGAAAATGCTCAACATCTTTTAATGGGGGTCTACCGCGAGAAATGTATGCGCTTGTATGTGCTTTGAGCGTGTTAGACTCCATAGAATTCGTAGTCAGCGACGAGACCTTGAGAAAATCCGCCATTGCTCGACCATATGTTTCTATGGCGCATACTACGCATGCGCATAGAATTTACGCATGCGCTGTGAACGCGATGGCGATTTGTGACTGAACGCAATAAAAAAAACCAAGCCCAACTTATACCTCGGGCAATTCTTCGGAAGCCCGAGTAATTATTCTTATCCTATATTTACCTAAGATCGATATACTAAATTCATTCCAATTTCGCCAGCTCCCAGCTCTGATATACCTTCAATAGACAGTATCCATCTAACGGGAGAAATGGTCTTTGAGCCGTGTTTTAGCAACCTTTTCTCTGACAGGGCTCCTGTTCAGAAGGCCTCTTTTCTCTTTTTTTTTTTTTCTTTTCATTTCTTAGTTAGGTCCAATTTGATAATTCCGTATTTTAATTTTAAGGCTCCTTTTAGTCATATTAAAAAATGATTTTAAAATCTGTGTTTGTTTATGTTTGTGATTATAGAGCGATCAACTTTGGAARAATTGGTAATGTAATTGGACATGAAGTCACACATAGTTTTACCCCTACAGGTTAGCTTCTATTTTGATCTCTAACTTATTTACCAAACTAAATCTTATTTAACAAACTAAATTGGAGCGTGCATTGGGTTGTCCAATATGCTGGAATGCTGGAGCTTATTTAACACCTAATCTTACTTTGGAACATAGGTGTATTTTTCTTTCAGAACTTCCAAACACTTATTTTTTCTCACATCAAATTTATTCAAAAGTTTACATGTTTTAAATGTGGTTTTTTTTTTTTTTTTCAAGAACCGTGTATAAGCCAAAGAAGCGACATAAATTCGTTTAGAAATATGCTTAAATGTTTTTTTGTTTGTTTGCTTGCTTTGCTTTGCTTTGCTCTGCTCTGCTCTGCTCTGCTCTGCTCTGCTCTGCTCTGCTCTCTTATGCTTTGCTTTGTTTTGTTTTGTTTTGTTTTTTGTTTGTTTGTTTTCTTTTTCGCTAACCGTTCTGAAATTCTCGATCTCTCCATTATTGATTATATTCTTCAAATATTGTCTTTTTAAATATCCATACCAGTGAAGTGGAACTGTGAAACTCGGTTAGTAAAAGGATTCAAAACTTAGCGTAAAATTTAACAAACTAAATCTTATTTAACAAACTAAATTCGTTTAGTTATAAGCTATGAATTAATTTGAGGGATGTCTTTCCATTTCCAGAGACGTAGGAATAAAATCCTTTCTTTAGATCACATACAAAAATATTAATAAATCTTCACAGTCCTAATTTATGAAAAATAAGTATTACTCGGGGAAATGACTATTGTCATGTTATTTTTATTTATTTATTTATTTTTAACCATTCATGAAATTTGCATGTTGCAAATTAAACGGTGGAGAACGCCCCTGTTACTGAGTATGAAAGAGTATACTGGAAAATAAAAGTGACATGCGGGAAAAAATCATGGTTCAATGTCGCGAGAAACCATTTTATAATTATTTTATCCCACGCTATCGACAATGTACCTAGGCCGCAATGCCCAATGAGAAGGAACAGTGGCATACGACCAAATATACAACGGTCATTAATCTGGATTCTGATTGGTCGTTGTTTTTAATGGTGGTGAGATTTCTACATGGAAAGTAATTCCACAAAGACTCGCTCGCTCGTTTTTTCTTCTTCGATATTTCATTTTTCGTCTTTAACTGCTTGAAGAAAATTATGTACCAAACGGGTGCTTTTGTTTTCTTGGCATTAATTAAGGTATGGGCATTCCAACCATCATAGAGAGCAAACAAAAAAAATCTAGGCAACGAGTCGTCCATGTTTGACATCCTGTGTTTATACATGTATTGTAAAAATTCATAGTTCGCACTTTTGATTGGATGTACTACATTTTATCGTTCGCGCTTATGATTGGTTAATTTTAATTTTAATTTTTAATTTTAACCCTGAACTGTGGCCATCTTGTTTTAGGTAGGAAATTCAACAAGGATGGAGAAGTCAAAGGTCAGCTTTGGACAAACCAATCACTTGAAAGGTTCAATGCTCGACTTCAGTGTTTTGTTAAACAGTATTCACAGTATTATGAATCAGGAATTCAAGTAAGATGATAACTTCTAGAAGACTTTTTTACTACTATGAATAACACGAAGTAATCGTAGAAACCTGAATGAAAATTTCATACGCCCAGTTTCTGTTTGAAAACCCGTTGGTCTTCAAATGATAAAGCTGTCCAGAAAAGTCAGTCTTCCATTTCCAGGTATATTTGTTGTTAAGCCAATAGAGGGCTCGAAATTTTAATTTGTATTCAAATTCAAATTCTAATATATTTCCAACTGAATTAAATATAAAAGTAAACCCCAACTCTATTCTGATTCTCAGTTCCCTTTCTATTGATATTAATTAAGGTTTTTGCAAACAATCAGGTTAACGGTAGTAAGACTCTTGACGAAAATACTGCAGACAACAGTGGCTTAAAAGCGGCTGTCAAGGTAGGATAGAGTTAATAAAGCTTGAACAGAATTAAATGTGTATATTTTAATTGCAGTTGCAAGTCTTACTTTGTATTTTCGTTAGGCATACCACAATTGGGCAGAGCGAAATCCCAGTGAAACATGGCTGCTACCAGGACTGAATTTCACCAACGAACAACTGTTCTACATTGCAATGGGTCAGGTTAGCATCAAGTCTTTTTTTTTTTTAGTTTTTCTTTTCAATACCTTGGGTCTCCATGGGTGCTTGTGTGTTGTTCTTTCCACTCTCTCGTTATAGATGGTTGTTATTATTGTTAATGTTCCACTGAAAAGCAAGAAAGCAAGCCAGGAACCAAGCCAAAAAGATAGAAGAAAAGAAAAAGAAAGAATGGAAGAAAGGGAGTAGGGAACAAATTACCTTAGTTTATTCTTAAATCTACATTTGGGAATGTCTTGTTACTCTATCCTGAACCTCCGATCTACACTTAAACGTTTGGAGAATCTTCTTATTCTTCTCTAATTTGGTTGAGATTTGTGGTCTAGCTTCTCGCTCCACGACATGTATCTGGGACGGGGAGAGGGTGGGGCAGCCACCGCCCTCTCCCCTCCCCTTCCCCCAACTTTTTTACCTTACTATTCCCMTACTATTCTCATATTTTCCAATGTCAGCCCCCCTTTTTCCCACACTAGTCTCAATTTTATTCCCCCTACACTTTTTAGGGTACTCCGCGGCCGCCCATGTAATGGAAACTAAATCGGTGTTATTTTACATCAACTTCAAAACACTGAAAAAGGCCTTAAACTGCAAATATCTCGATCTCTCAAGTTGAAACTTCGTCAATTGAGGTTTCAATAACTTCTGATTTTGATTATCCGCAAATGAATCAAAACCTAGGTTGTCTCGTTAGCCTCCAGTCTCCAGAGCCACCTTAATGTTTGATGGGCAGTTAATGCGGAACTATTGTACAGAAGAGTTGGCGCGCGATTTCGATCTTTTGACCTTCGTGTCCCGCCATATCGCATTGTAGCTAGTCGTTAGGGAATGTTTTCCCAAATCCAAACAGTAAGCCTCGTTACTTCAAAAGAAATTCGCTTCAGCAAGAGTCCCGTTATTATTATGTATCTTCTGGTGGTTTTTAAGGTCGTAATTGCGGGTGTGGAGGTAAAATATGCTCAAAAGTTCGAAAGCTATTAAAAACGTAGCTTTCTCTTTCGTATGCATAATTACACCAATTCAAACGAGAAGAATCCTACAACCCTAGTTCTACCTGCACCAGTACTGATTGAACATTCTACACCTCATCATCTTCTTCCGCTGACAGCTTTACCGCTGACATAGGAAAATAGAAACATTCAGCTTCGCTTTAATCAAGTGCCTCACAGCCCCCTTTTCATTGTTTTCTCTGCGTGGTCACCGCTCCCTATTCACATTCATCATCATTCTTGAAGAATGCTATCGCCCACATAGCAGAAACGTCAAGTTATGTTTGCTATGACGCGTGTTTTCCTTACAATTTTTTTTTTTTTTTTTTTTTTTCAATTCTTTCCTTTGTTTTTTGCCGAATATATTTTGACACTGAAATGAGGCTAATCCTGAGTAAATGGGTCTATAGTCCAGGAACTCAGCGGTATTTCACAAATTCAATCAACGTATATTAGGAAAACAGTGAGTTATTTAATAGTGTGCTTGATTAAAGCCTATGATCATCAGTACTAATTTATTTTTTTGTTTTATTGACAGAACTGGTGTTTTCACGACAAACTTTATTACACCAAATGGAAGTTGAGATCTATTTATCCGACGGAAAATTGGAGGTAAGTTTATTATTGTTAGAAAAGACTGAAATATAGCTCGGGGATTAGCTCCCTGGAGTACCACTCTTTATTCGACCTCGAGAGGTTTAGCTACAAACTAAGGTGAACGAGCCAAGCCGACCAGAAAGACGTTCCCTAGTAGAATTGTATTTTAGAGAGAATTCCTTAATATTTTATTTTTGCGTACTTCACGAGGAAGATTTATTAGCCTTAAACAAAGGGATAAAAAATAGTACTTAATTTTCGTGATCGTACTTTATGAAATTTCAATTGTTTTCAGACCAAGTGGKTMYATAATCGGTATCTGTAAGACARGCATTGTAAACTARAACTAATTTTACTTATATCTATGAGCCAAGTACAATTTTACTGAACAACTTAACTCTTACATGCATACCTAATCTTCATCATGTTCACAGGTTGATTGGTATATTAACTAACTCTTGCGAGTTTGCTAACGCATTCAAGTGCAAGATAAACAGTCCAATGAATCCTTTGAAGAAATGTGCTATTTGGAGTAAAGAGGGGCCGTTGTTCTAGTTACATGTCTTATGCTAGATCATTCTAACCGACTTCTAATATTGGTTGGTAATGAATGTTGCAAGAAAATGTACTTCAATGATTGCACCAGCTAAAGACTATCTCAACTGGATGTGCCCAAAACATAATAACGATTTATAAACACTCTGCCAGAAAACATGAAATATGTTACTGATTCTACTAAAAATAGATCAATTAATAAAACGTAACCTAAACGCAGTAAACACATAAACATGTAGTATTTAATGGTCAAAGAATTGTACTTTGTAAGAGTTCTGTCAAATGCCGTTGGAACAAGGTGAAAGTTACATTATCTTATTTATTTATCTATTTGGCAATTTGGCAATTTGAGAAATTTTGCCAGCAGGCTGGTGCCACATAATAGGACATAGGGTCCCCTCCGAGGTACATTGCACCAATTTCCAGCCAACCCCGTAAAATCCCATGCCCATCCCACAATCAACCCGTTAATAAAATCATTAGTAAATGCCAGTGAGACACAGGGTGGTCACACCAGGGTTTCTTGGCTTTCTCAGTGGTTCTTTTATGTACCTCCGATATTAGTTAGGAATAAAGAAGTGGATTTCTCAGGCCAAGAAATATGCAGTTTTAGTAGGAGTTTAAGCTTCAAAGGAAAACGAAATAGTTTGTATGTGGAAATATTTATTCCTTTATTGAGCTATTGCAAGTGTTTTATCTTACGTATGTACCGTGAGTAGAATTTTAGAATTGTAATCATTTTCAGAAACTGATACATATCAAGTTTGAATCGTAACGCGTGTTTCACGCCTATCAAATAAGCATTGTAGTACAAGTTCAGTGCTTTTTAAAATACTAGAAATATTTACGGGAAAACGAAATCTAATGTTAGGGGATCGAAATATTTATTCCTATCCCGACTATACAATTATTTGTGTCACAGGAACTTGAGGGATCCCAGAATCTTGACACCTGTCAAAGGTGTTGTAGTAGCTATGCAAATGTGGCTTATCAAAGATTTAGCAACATGGACCTAGATGGTTGCGTTTGTCAATCGTTGACACCTTCACTGGTTGCTTAGTCTCCCCCACAGCCGCTTTCAGTGTCGTCACGCAACGCTTTCTCCCCTGAGTAGCGGCTGCTTACCCGAGCACAACATTTCTTTCCTATTGTTTGTGTTCAACCAATCAGATAAGTGTCATTGTGTTTCAAGAACCAATCAAAACGTTTCGAATTTGACAACTTGTAAACATTCACGAGAGAAATAATTCTAAGACGCATCGAGTGGAAGTTGGAGAAAATCTTTGGGAAATTAAAATTGAATTCGTTCTTGTTAAATGTTTAATACTAGAAAAAAATTATTGGAGACGGAACTAAGTGTTTTCTTTGTTCATAAAGAAATAAAAGATTTATAATTTTATAAGTTTAGCTATCGACATTGTTTAATCGGCCGATAGTGAATTCGAGTTTGTACTTGCTATCGAGCTCGTACCAAAATATTAGAAGCAAAAAGAAACTGGAAAACTTTTTTAAAAAGCGTAATTTAGACTCWTGGAAGTTAAACGAGACGACTCAAGATTTAAGAGATTGAATTCGAATATAAAGTCTGACAGTATTTTTAATAAACGAAGAAGATGAGCCGCGCAGATCACTTATTTTAAACAACGAATGCAGTGTAAAGCTAAAGAAAATCGCAAAAAGGCTAGATATCTTTCAAATCTGACACTGTCACACCGTTGACTTACACGAGTATTCATTGTAAACTTCTGAACGCTCACAGTTCTGGTATTTACTTCTCGTATACCGCGAGGATTAGCTCAATTTGATACTGTTAGAAAAGTTGTTTTGTTTTGTTTTGTTCACACTGTTAGAAAAGTCGTGAAAAGTAAACACGAATCCTTAGCTAAAGCGTTATCTTATGGCCAACCTTCTAACGTCGCGTTTTATAGCAGTTTGAACTTCGAACTCCTGTTATTCAAAAAGTCCTCGAGCTTGTCTCGAAAGAAATTACTGGGCTTTACTCTAGAGCGCCAATATTTTATTCCTTTGAGCGATTTCCCACATCCAGTAGGCAGATTTTCAAAGAAATCTTGTTTTTCTTGTAAAATCTTTCGTATAGCGTCTTTCTGATGATCATTAAACTGTTTGATGCGAAATTTCTTAGCTGCTATCTCGAAGCCTTCGACGCATCGTGCTTTCCATATGGCGCGAATGGTTCCTGGTTTTCGAGAACTGAGCCGTGATTGGTTAATTCATAGGAAAGGAATATTGTGCTCGGGTAAGCAGCCGCTACTCAGGGGAGAAAGCGTTGCGTGACGACACTGAAAGCGGCTGTGGGGGAGACTACTGGTTGCTATGATTACGGCAAACAGTCTGTTTACAACAGGATTAGAAAAAATATATTTTGCCATCATGTATTATCATACAACTTGATGGGAAATCTTGAACAATAATTAAGGAAAGCTAAGGATATACTGAATAATCGAACATTCGTCGATCGACTTACTTTTAATTAGTGTAAAGGCAAGTAATGAAGCCCCGTTATAAGCCTATAGATCGACCAGAATGCGAAGATACATGGTTCTGTTATTTTGTTCCTCCAAAAGGACAAGGTCAGCCGAGTGCTATAGCTAAACCTCTATCTCAAGTCCCTGACTTGAATCAGGGGCGAAAAAGTACCACCAGCGGGACAGAAAACCGTAGAACACAAGTCAGAGGAGCAGCAAATCCAAATGATTCCAATTATATTCGTCTAGCAAAGGCTGGTGGAAGGAAAAATTTGTTGACCTTCACCGATAATCCATCGAAAGCAAAAGAACCAGTGCCTTATCCTGTGCCAGAGTGGTACTATGATGACTATCCCGATCATGATAGCAACACTGTGAAAACAGATTATTCAACAACGAGGTATCCACAGAGACCAGACTGGATGACACATCTTGAGTATAACCCAACGACATATCAACACAAAACGCCTTACCACACCAGCCGTGTAATCATCGCTTGGGACAAGATGTCTGCTTAGAAACGAGAAGAATGCGATAAAAGGATGCAACAGAAAGCAAAGGCAATATACGAAAAGAAGCGCAGAGAAGAAAGACAAGAGCGCAAGAAGAAACCTTACGTTTATTCAAAAGCAAATAGTGGTGGATTAACTGAAGGAGCAAGAGTTAGGCTTCCTAAAATCGAACCAAAAAAGCTTCCAGGGATGAGAAAACTATCCGGTGCTGGTCTTAAGGTACATTGGTATGAAAAATGGTACATCACTAATCGTGCTTAAGAAGACACGGCTTTTCTGCCTGACTTGTAGTTCTCGGCCTCGCATTGTCAATGGCTTAAGTATGGAAGAGAAAGAATTGTAATGTCTTTAGATGCAATGTAAATAAAGGCTGAGAGCATTTGACTATACCGAAAGCACGCAAACAAACTATCCTAATCTACAACCCCTTACGCTTAATAATAACCGACCTCACCTACAATATCCTTTTTAAAAGAAAAGGCTGTGGCTTTATGGATTAGTTTTAACTGAATTCTACGTATATTCTAGTTTCTGAATCACCAGGAAGGTATTATGGCATTCTTGTGTACATTTCTCCAGATGATGTTTGAGCAACTAATATAAATTTTTTTAATGTTAATTCCTTCCCAAAGCGGCTCAATATAACTGAGTGGCAAACGAAATCTAACGGTTTATTATATTTTTATTGCTATCTTAATAGAGTTTGTGGAAGCGACTGATCAAGTGATGATCATAACCATGATATTAAAGCCTTGTTCACACTAGAGTCGTAATCGTAATCATAATCGTAATCGCAACCGTAAGCAGCGTTAAAACTCATTTTGAATCAAAAATCGTAGTCTGAGCGCCGTCGTAAGTTGCATGGTAACAGCGTCGTAATCGTAAGCTAAGATCAGAGGGTTTTGTTTCCTTACGACTGCGATTAGGATTACAGTCACTTTGCGATTAAGTGTGAACCAAGAAAACGTAATCGTTTATTACGCTCGTGACGATCATCATGATGATGAATATTTCAAAACTAGCGGGAAAATAACAAGGAAGCGAGGCTTACGATAAACTAGAGCGTAACCTTCTTAAGATTACGATTGCGACTACGATTACGATTGCGATGCTTACGACGCCAGTGTGAACGAGGCTTAAATAGTTATTTTAAACTGATAAAACTAGCGGTTACTAGTTGTCCGACCCTACTTATGTAAGGAAGAGCTAATAATCGTCTTCCCTTGACTGGTCATCTTATTTGCTATCACTAAGTTTCGCCCCATGTAAGGGAATCCGGAATCCGGAATCCACGAAATTTTAGGCTTTGGAATCCGAAATCCAGCACTCTGGAATCCGGAATCCAGGCCTTGGAATCCGGAATCCAGTTTATAATGGAATCCGGAATCCACCCTTTTGGAATCCGGAATCCTCTACTTTGAAATTCAAAGTATACACTCAAATGCTATCGCCTCGACCTTGACTGAACCGATGTAGCCCCTCCCCCACTGTGTAATATCTCCACCAAGAATATCTGTCATCGGATGCTGATTTAATTGATAGACGATTCTACTTATACTGGCAAGTATATCAAATATAATTTTCAGAGGAAGTATATGAAAATTAACGATATGGAATCCGGAATCCGCAATACAAAAGTCTTGGAATCCGGTATCCAGACCCTTGGAATCCGTAATCCAGAGTCTCGGAATCCGGAATCCAGCGCTTGGAATCCGGAATCCACCATAAGTCCGGATTCCCTTACATGGGGCGACTAAGTTCACTTAGCACTGTTTCAAGTTCATTTCAGCACTTTGCCCTTTCTGACTCGTTAGAGACAGGTCAGCTCCTTAAGTAATAGTCCTGGCGGCTACTCAGMGCTTTACCTAAGTATTGTTTATCGGGATCAGCTACGTTTAAAGTGCCTCTACGATCAAATTTCTGACTTGCTCTGTTTTTGCCTGGATTGAAAGACCTTTAATAGGGAAGTAAAATTTAACTTTCCTTTTTCAAATATMTTTTTCTTTTCCCCAAAAGATATAGAAGTTTTAAAAATGGCAGCCATTTTTCTTGATGACGTCATATTTCCTATGCTTTAGCAACCAAAGTTTATGATAAGCTTTATCTCAGCCCAATTTCAATCAAAATCAACCAACCTTATAGTACTCTAGCTGTTCCTTAAAATTTGCCATAGCAACAGCCAGGGTTCCAGGCCGCCACCCCTACCTAAAATTCAGGTTTTTGAAATGTCTACCTTTACGAGAGATGGTATCGAATAAGGCTAGGTTAAAATATATTTTATGGTAGTAGAAACAAATTTAGCCAAACAATTTTCGGCTCAAGTTAAAAAATAAAGAAGCAATCGCTGAAAGGCTAAAATCATTGTTAGTGGCCTGAAAGCCAGTGTGTTGCCATAGCAACCACAGTTTGTGCACTTTCATGTTTTATATTTTGAATACAAGTATACAGCAAAGTTTGGATGACGTTCATCAAATACTCTAAAAGATATAGTGAAATCTACGTTGAAGGACTGTGAGTTGAGAATATGACGTCGTCAACCTCCTGATTAGCATAAACTTGAAACTTGTAATCTCTTGAGCCAAAAGTGCTAATAAGAAATGAAACACGCTAATGCAGTCATATCAAAGTCTCTCCCAAAAAAAAATTGTCGTTTGCACTCGCTGACTATCAACTCTATATCCCTATTTGGAAAGCTTACCTTATTTGGAAGTGAAAACAGATTTCGTTTTGGTGATTTTTCGGCCATTTAAAGCTTTTTAAATGTCGAGAATATGAATCAAACATCAGAAAAAATCTGTTAACATTTGGTCAGCTACGATTTCAAGCTCACGCCCCCTCATGTGAGCCCATACAAATTAGGTCTCAAAAACACGGTTTTTGGATCTTTTCTCAAAATAATGACTATCTAGACAAAAAACAGAAGTGGATTCAGTTAATTCAACTATTCACGGACTGTATTATATGGTTTAGATTGAATTCTATTGAAAAAAACCACCGTACTTTTTGAGTTGAATGTACGCTATTGGATGTATTTTACGAGAGAAAACGCATGACATAACCGGGGTCAAGCTAGAAAATCGTCTCTCCTTGAAATAAAACAGAACCTGTCAAAAAAACAGAAGTGGATTTGAAAACCCCGGGCTTTCCTGAACATTTTGGTATATAATTCACATAGGAATTTGTTAAAATTTAGAACCGTATTTGTGCTGATTTTATAAGCTCATACTATCTGTTGGCTATACATTCGCCTCTTATGGTTTCTTAGGTTTCGTAGCCTCGAAAACACGCTAACTACGGTAGTTAGCGAAATAACAGAAGATTTAGGGTCATTTAGGATGTTGTGTCACACAGTTTACTTGTGCTATATAACTTTACCATGTGTTTTTATTCATTAATTTACACCAGCCATGTCGAGAAGTTCAGCAATGACATTTTACGACGTGTGAATATATTCTATTTTATTCAATATTATTATTATTTATTTGAATTTACATAATATTGATTTTTGATTATTATTTTTAGAAAAAATGAATTTTGATTTTAGATACCAATTCATGTACTTTTGTGATGAATTAGAAAGCTGGTATTTAAATCATGCGAAAATTAAAAACAGTCGTTTTCGTTTTTTCAATAGGTTCATGTTCGCCTTTGGATCTGTGCAGGCCAAATGACCTGTGTATGCGGTGCAGCAATACGAGAGGGAAAAGACGTCATAGTTATATCTATGTGTAACACAATGAAAGATTCAGTGCCTACAATACTAAGGACTTTCAAACGAAGTCCTGGAAGTCTATCGAAAGGAATACAAATCACTAAGAAGATCAGTGGTTCATCATTGGAGCAGGAAGTACATTTATATCATTGAATTCCTAAAAAGACAAAATAGATTAATAATTATTTGTTACCATAATTCTTCCTTTTCATATGTAATGTAATTCTGTCTTCGGGTATCAGAGTCTCAGTAAAACGTTCTGGAAGGTCACTGGACGTTCGTATCAATGCACCATCTACCGACAAGGGAAAAGTCTTGGGGCTTTGTGGTAACTTTAATGACGATCCGGAAGACGATTGGAACAAAGGAGGTGATGGTAAACTTCATGATGATGAAAAACAGTTTTCAGCAAGCTGGCGGTAAGTCAATGACACAAATAGAACTGATAACACATGGGCAAGCACAAATACAACAATTTTGTTTATATTGTTTAAACAGTCTTAAAGAAGGGAAGAGCTTTTTTGAGGTTCTCCCTGAACAAGAACTTGAAGAGCAAGTTGAACAAGGAAGATCCTGCTATTGTGGCATCGAAGGTGAAACAACACAGGATGAAAGATGTGATGACAACGCAAACCTTTTCACAAGAATCGACGCTACTCAGGTAGAAGTACTTAACACTCAAATAAATGACCAATCACAGTTTGGCATGAAAAGATCTGTAGACAGTCACTGGTATAGTGATGACATCATTGATCACGTGGAACGTAGCTACTATGTGGATGATCCTCATATACAACTCGCTGTAAACCGGATACGAAACAAGAGATCACCAAGAGAAGTCATACCAGAAGATGAGGCAACCCAGTATTGTACAACGCATATCGAAGAAACAAAAGCAGGAAAGGCATGCAAGGAGATCTCGGAAACCAACTTGAAAAATGCAATGATACAGTGTGTCAACGACCTAAAGGTAATGTTGGTAGGGATAATTAATGTGACATCTATTAAAACAGGAAAGGGTGCATTATTACGATATGCATATCAAACATAGAGTGTCGTATTTCCCTGTGTTTGTTGCTGCGAGGCAGACCCACGAGTTAGCATCGTCCCCTATCCTTTCTCGATTTTCCCGTTTTCTCGTTTTTCTTTTTTACTTGTCTTTTCTTTTTTTTTTTTTTTTTTTTTTTTTTTTTTTTTTCTTTTTTTTTTTTGACTGATTAATATGCCTC